GGGGGGGGGGGGGGGGGGGGGGGGGGGGGGGGGGGGGGGGGGGGGGGGGGGGGTTGGGGCACGGTGGGAGCTCACGACGTGTTAGCGGCTGGATTTTTGAAATTTTCCCATCGAGTTGTCGAGTGTGTCCTGTGCGCCAAACAACCACAAAGTTTCTCCTCGAAATGATATCTGGCAAGCAATGCAAGGGTCACACCGCCGCACGTAGCCCTACCCTAAAACGACTCGTAGTCGACATCTGTTGCAATCGCACCTATGCCACAACATCGCAGTAGCAAAACGGTTCACATACTTTTTCGCAGTCAACTCCTCTTCCAGGAAGCTGCAACCTGACAGCTGTCGACCCAAACAGAAGATCGGTTTTCAATGCACTCTTACGTGGCAAACGTGGATCTTGGACGTCCCGCCGTCCCGCCGCTACCACCTCCACGGGCGGCAGCGCCTCGTGGTTTGGCAGTGTGACTTCGAACGAGACGACGCTCACGCTTCGACGCCCCTGCGCCGGCGTCTCCGCCAGGCGGTCGATCACCCGTCACGCCGCCCCCGCTCCCGACCCCACAGCCCTTCCCATTTCCACACGCGCTGTTGGTTTTATGCCTGGTCCGGTCCCGGCCACCGTGCCCCGTCTCCCCTCGAGCGAGTGCCGCTTCTTGTCCCTCTCTGGGGCCCCCGTCCTTGGTGTGGTCTGTCTGGTGGTGCTTCACCACCGCCACGTAGTTGTTCGTCGCGCCGAAGGCAGTTCGTGGTCTCCCGCCGAAGCACCTGATTTGGACATGTTATTGTTGTTGGTGTTGGTGGTGTTGGTGGTGGTGGTGGTCTTGGTCTTGGGCATTGTTGTGGTTGCGGTTGAGTTCGAGCAAACAACACCACCCATATCATCGTGCGGGAAGATCCTGGTTATCACCTCTCGAACCCCGCACGCGCAATTCAGCACTTCCACGTTTTCCCTACCAGTCTGGCTGGTACCCTCTGAATCGCCTGCGGGAAAAACGGCTACACGTTGTCGATCGTGCCCCCCCCACTTGCACCTACGGTAGTACCTCTCTTCTGCCAGCCCCCTCCTCCGCCGAACGACGAACTCTTGAGCCCTCTCCCTGGCACGCCTGACGGGATCGAACTCTGGCCTGCTTTCACGCTCCTTGAGGGCCGCTCGGACCCTCTGTGCCCTTCGCCGCTGCAACCGAACAAACCAGTTTCGTTTTCTTACGCGCAAGTTGGCAATTACGTAGGGATATTGTATTCCTGTCGATGTTTTGAACCTAGAACACCACCGGGGCAATGTCACGTGGGTAGTGAGGGGGGCCGTGATGCTGGTTGTCTGCCTTGACAACGACAACAAGAGAAACCAGCCACACCCCTGTCAGCGATTCTTTCGAGAATCGTGACGGTGGGTGGGTGATGGGCCCGAATAATTTTACCGGAGAATCCGAACCGTCTGCAACGTGTGGCATGGAGGTTAACGGGCGGGAGGGAGTCTAGGGGCAAATAATACGGCAGATGGGCGAGTGCGCGGGGAGAAAGCAGTGTATTAGGTATGCATCAGTTTTTTCATGGAACGAACGAGGTCAGGTCCAAAGTTACAAACTCGTTGGGGGTGGGACCGGTTGCGGTGAAATATGAGAGTACCTTGTCCTGCAATCGATCTCTGCCAAAACATACCTAGTTGTCTCTCCACACTTCAGGTGATAATGGTTCGGGCAAGAAATCGTCCCGGCCTACAAGCTTGCGTATCGGCTGATGTCGCTCACGGCTTCGTGGGTGATGGACGTAGCTGTTACACGATTGTATGCCAGTCCTACAGAAGTGGTGCACCATGGGTTTTCTCATGTGCACACGTACAACTAAACCAGCCTCGAGAGCCCTCAAGCTCGATCGACAACAATGTAACGATCTCGCACCTCCATACCGATGTCCAGCGCTCCGAGAGCGATGTACTCCTGCTCCTGCCGTTTGATTCCCTGTGTGGTTCAAGTTCGAATCGAAGATTCGCAACCAGAACACGCACCGAAAACAAACGTACATAAAAACTGCCGGAGAACAACACCGGCAAACGAGCACAACCAAAAACAGATCTGGGAATGGGCTTACCAATCGATCATTCTACCAAGACAACTTTCGCTGAACGGCGAGCTCAGCAATGTTACGACCGCTGTTGGGTTTTCACACCATGCCGGGCCTTACCACGAGGGGGTCGTGATACTTGGTCTCCCACTCGCGCTGCCAGCGCGCGTTCCAGTACCGCTCCGCGGTGAGATTTTTTAGGGACACGAGAGCCTTGCCGTTGTCGTCCTGTTCCATCATCGGAACTGAAACCAGAACCAGGACCGTGCACCAAACATGCGTCGAGCAGAAACAGAGAGGAAATGCATGAATCAAAGAAAGCTGGATGCGCCTCTCACAAAGTCTCGTTTTGCGATGTAGCGTCGGTTCTTCTTCCAACCACAAAGTAGAACAGCACCCGTGCGATTGGCATGTAGGTCTGAAGTCGTGCTACCGGTAAGTGCTGCTACAACCAAGGGTATGTCTAGACTATGTCGATAACCAGGGCCCTTTCGAGAGTTTTCCCCTCTCACCGATGGCTTCTACTCTGGGATCGTCGTCGGGAATGCAGGTCCGGCGGCTTAGCTGGTCGTCGGGGTCGATGGCCGTGGGAGCGGCGTTGAGTAACACCTCCGCTTCGTGCACCGAGGCAGACATGGCCCTGAGGGAGGACCGGACGCAGGCGTGGTTCGCAAGGGCCTGCTTGTGCCCTCCGATGACCTTGCGCACCTCCAGGACGTGGAAGACTCGCTGTGTGAAGCAAGCAAGGTTGTTTTATGAGACGAACATGTACTTTCGTGCTCTCATGATTACACACTGTAACTGCTGTGGTGCGTAGACTACCTTCTGCATTCCAACTGTTTTGGATTTGCTCGGCGGCAACATGGAATGTGCGATGTGACAGCTTTCTCCCCATTTGGATGAGAACGTTTCGATCCGTACCGCCGTAGCTTGCAATATGAGCATGGTGCTTCTTGCCTTTTGATGGAGCTCTATCGTCTCTACAGGGGGATTCACTGCACATGAGTGCTGCGCGTGGTCTATGTACAACAGCAGCAGTAGTCTACGTGCATTGTTCGAGCATGAGATTCTTGTCTGCGAACGACAAGGGTCACAATGCATCCGAGTCCACCGCAACGCCTGGGTTGTGCACGGTGTGGGACTGGCTGTGGTTTTCGGGAAGCTTTCCATCTGCGATGTCGCCCTCTTGCAGGGTCTGTGTCTGTGCAACTTTTATGTAGTCTCATAAATCCAGCGCCTATTATACAAATATTATTAGGCAGAGAAAATAAAGCATTTCCCCAAAAATCAGTACCTAAACCAATAAGAAGATCTCGGCTAAGGTACCCTATAAAGATAACAGGGACTCAGTGAAATTACATAGGTCGTGAAGTATACAGCTGGCTGAGACTACGTCTTCAAAAATTTCGTGGTGTTTGTTCCCTTCACAACATTCAACTACACTGTATCCCAGTCGCCGCCGACACAGGTACTCGAGCGTTAAGAAAGGTTTCCGCCACTTGTAAACTGTTGAGGCTTACGGAATGTGTTGCATCCACCGTATCGTCCGCCATGGTATCGGTCGCCTGCGTAAATGAAGAGCGACGGTCTTGAAGTAAGAGCCGGGTGTGGCTATTTTTTTTCAGCGGGCTCCTTCAAGCTGCTGGGATCTCATTGTCTCACCATGTTGTTGCTGGTGGGGCCGGGGGAACCAAACGCCTATTTGGACTTCCTGAGACAGCCAAGTTTGCACCGGGGCGACACACGGCCTGTCGTATGTGCTTGCTTTTGTCTACAACAGCAATCAACTTGTCAACATGCGGTGTTTTCTGCTGACTGTCTCTCTCAATCTCCGAATCGGCAGGTATTCATCCGCGTTTTCGCTCTGCAGCAGGGCAGCTGCAGCCGCAAGCCGCAAGCTGCCATGCGCGTCGCTGATGTCGCGCTGTACGCTGTACCAATCCCTTGCCAACTGATTTTAGTACGAGTTTTGTTGATCACTCGGGGCAGAAGGATAAACAGTAGCGCGCAAACCGTCTACATTTTACACAGAAGGCGCAAATTGCATGTAGACTAGAAGTTGCCTTGTCGCCAAATGGGAGAACGGGAGCAGCAAGAGATAATACCAGAATTGAAGCTTTTCCCGCCGCCAACCAGATAACCTGCCTTGGTTGGACATCCAAGACCATCACACTATCTACAGCTCGAAAACCAAGATGCTACTGTACATTGTACACCAGCGTACTGCTATACACGCATATTGCCATGCATCGAGCCGGCGGTGATATTTCTCTTCTCATCTCCCATGAGATTCAAGCATGAGGACCTGAGTCTATTTTCTATTTTCGGTACGGCGAATGCAGCCTTCAACATCGCCACGCCAAACCGCCCCTCCTACAACAAACTGCTGTGCCAAACGTGTTGAGCGTCACCTACCTACTTTCTTTGTCCTCCGTACAAATCATGCACCGCCACCAAGCGAACCAAGGAAAACTTTCGTCGACAGTCGGGGAGCCCACGCGGAGCAGCAGGAAGCGGCCTTGAAGCTAGTTGAGGCTGACTTTCGCACGGCGTGGGAGGATCTGGAAGAAGGATGGGACCACTTCGAGGAACACTTGATCGAAATCGGCATCGAAAAAACTGCCACTTGTTGCGGCGAGGAGGATATGGTGCGTCGCGGCATGGTCGGGGGGCAGCTTTTCGGCGACCTGTTTGAGGGTGTGCGGGATGAGCGTGTCCCCCGAGATGCGGCCGGTTACGTGGTGCTGGGCGAGTCCCCTGCTTGCGCTCAACATCTTGCGCGCATGCTCCTGGCGAGGAGTTCCGTGGAGGCAAGGGTGGACGCGCCATCACTACTGGGCGACGACATACCTGCCCATGACAGGGCCTACCTTGAGAACGTTTCGCACGCCCTTGGGCTAGCGCGTGCGAAGGCCAAGGTAGGATTACAACCATCCAAGTGCCTGGTGGCTGTCGAGCCAAGGAGTTCGTTGGAGTCGCGTGAACTTGGCAAACTGATGATTGCCGTTCGAAGCTGGTGCCCGGGCGAGTTTCGCGGAATGAAGCTGATGTACAGTTCCTCCCGCGACGGAACGCGTGCAGAAGCGTTCCACTCTTAGTGGGGAGATGATGACTGTTCAACAATAACTGTGGCGAGGTGCTCTGGCAATGGCCATATGCCATCGATCACCATGGGTGATGTCTCTACCGCATCCTGGTCTGTAAGATCCGATGGCGCATGCCACTTGATGCATTCAGCGGAGGCCTTTCTTTTCGAGACAGGGAGCACCCACCTTCCCCAAAAATACGACTTGAGGGAAGGTCATGCCGAGTACGCGATCTACTGTGGGTCCAAACGTGGACCATGTTTCGGAGCGGGCGATGTGCACTACCATTTTCCCAGAAGGATCGACGTTGTGATGAAGCTGCCGATGTGACAACCGGGAATCAGTCGTATAATGTGCCCGATGGATCTGCTTTCCTGGGAAACCGGACACCACGACGTGTATACAGCATCGACGTGTTCCGTGTACATCATTCCGAAGCTTCAGCCCCTTCGCCCGCCTCCCCCGCCATACCCATACCTAGTACCACCGACGACGTACGTTGCGGTTTCAACGCCGTGCCCGAGGAAAAGGCCGACGACGCCCAAAGGTTCGGCGTCTCAATCGCCAGCTCTCTAATGGAAGAACGGGTGGTACTTAAACAATCCTAAGCCGAGCTTGCGCGCGCCCAAGAGGTGGCTTCAGCAGCCCTCGAAGCCTTGACGAACGTGTACGGTCCGGACATCGTTTCGGGGAAGAAGGACGAGGTTGTGGAGCTCAGCGTGCGTGGGGTCAGGATGACCACCCTTCGTTCGACGCTGACCGTTTGCCCGGACTCGGTGTTCACCACGTGGTTCAACGGAAACTGGAAGCCCACCGAGAAGGACCTCGACAAGCACGGGGGGGGAATGCTGGACTGCAAACCGACCGTCTTCGCGAAAGTGTTGGACGTGCTGCGCATGAAGAAGCGGGCAGGGTGGGCACCCAGCGAAGACGCGGGGGGCGGAGGCGTGGTCGTGAAGCCGGTCCCCGTTGCCGTTCGGCCGGCGGGTCGCGCTTGCTTGGAGGAGTTTGTCAACAAGTACTTATCGGGGTGCGAACGTTTCATCATGGACTTAGTGGTGTAGCTACCGACTGCTGTATGTACCAAAGATCAATGCTACGGTAGGGGGGACACTTTTTAAGACATGGGTCACATGTTGTCGCCCGACAAGGTCCATATTAATGCTCGTAGCTCTCTCAATTTTTGCATTTCAAGGAAATCAATTCTGTCCAGGCAGCCGCCTGGCGTACATCTCGCGGTGTGCAAAACAAAAAGCTTTTTTTCCATTGGTTGAGGCAGTACACACCAGTCCGCCAAAACACTCCATGTGACCGAGGGGGTACCCCCTATCGTAGCATCCCTCCATACATGGGCGGCAACGCCCTGTCGACGGACACACACGTGGGTGAGTTGTTGTTGTTGTTGTTGTTGTTTCTCACATTAGCTCTAAAAAAAAAAAGATTGGGAGCCCGTGGTCTCAAAACCCGGCATACACGACCCCACGAAGAAACAGAAAAAAATAGGGTACAACCACTCGGAAGAGAAACAAAATGATAGAAAGAAAGACCAACTACCGCACCAAACGAGAAAGAGCGTCGAGGAGACCGATCAAAATAAAATAAAAGGAGAAGGGGGAACGCTTCCCACACCCGCCTACAACG